ACCGCCGGGTCGTCGGGACCGGGGGTCCTCGGTCCGCAGCCGCCCGAAGCGAGCGGCGCCTCGGCTGCCAGCCCCTCCCCCATGACCTCCTTGCCCCCGACCCCACTAAGGGTGGCATCTGAAAACTCTGCGCAGAGCGCGCGACTTCGGGCCACCCGGTCCGCGTCCTCCCGGCTCATGGGAGTAACAGCAGCTGCTGCAGACTGGGGAGCTCGGCTGGGCCTGCTCGGCCCGTTCCACCCCGGTTCACATCAACAAACCCGGGAACTGCCTCCAAAGACAGCTCCTGCCCTGTACAGTGACCCCGAGGGCCACAGTCGGGTTCTTGAAGTAGGCCTGGGTGCGGTGGGGTGACCGCGGACCCTAGGTGCTCAGGGATAGGCGAGAGGGCCTGTCTGTCCTGCTGGGAGCATGCTTGAAGAGCTGGGTGGAGAATGGACAGGGGACTCCCCCTAGACTTTCTTTCCGCTCAGTTTGTCCCGATCAGAGTTCCTGCTCCGTGTGCCTCTCGGGGTAGCGTGTCTGTCTGCGTGGGCGGGGCCTGGATCTGGAGGCCCCCAGCTCTATCCTGGGACAGCCCCCCCTCCCCACTTCCTGTTGAAGCTGGGAGAAGATTCTAGGATGAAACTGGCTTTTCAGGTTTAGACCAGCTAGAAGCCGGGGCAGTCCCAAGCTAGGTGCTCCCCACCTCCACGGGCGAGCCTCAGCCCCTTGCCCCCGCCCTTAAGCCTGGAGGATGCTGGGGAACTCAGCAGCTGGCCGGTTCTCAAGAGGCTCCAGAGGCTGAGTCGTCTGCTACCAGGTCATTCTGGGCGTGCTGGGTTCTTTGCTTAGAGATCTGCTAAGAGGCTAAGTGTGTGGGATAGGCCTAGATAGACTAAAGGTACAGGTTTTCGCACCCTCCACAGACCTCCAGGCAGCCTCCTTGGCTGGCCAGCTCCTCTGCAGGAGCCCTACTGGGAAGTCTGCTTGGGTGAGCCTACCTTGATTCCCTTGGGGAGGTGGTCTAGTGGCACTGGTCTTGGTCTCCAGTTAAAGGACCGTCGGTGCCCTTCCCTCCAAATTCCCTGGCCCCATCCATCCCTCTAAGCTCTCGGCTGTACTCAGGTTACCCCCCTCCTGGACGTGAAGCCCTCCCTCATCTCAGTCAGGATCAGATTCTTTGCCTTCTGACCATTTTTTTTTTAGTTTGTTATGTTTAGGGGTGACTCCTTCCCTCGCCTGAGGATGGGGGTTCACCCAGAGAGTCACAGCAGCCTCCCTCAGCCTCAGATGCTCTGTAGCGGCTGGATCCCTCCCAGTTCCCTGGCAGACCTGGCCGAGGTGCTGAACTCCCTCGAGGCCCCGTGACCTCAGGCTGTGAATGGCCCCTGCGAGTTAATCTGTAAAATGGACATTAGTGACTCCTTCCCGCCATAGGTTAAGCTGTCAACAGGGTTAGTTAGGATTGGCTCTGAGGCAGGCGTCCTAGACTTTTGATGAATGAAGCTGTTGTTGCAGACTCAGTTTACCCCTGTGAAGCCTCTCCAGTCTTGTCCTGCTTTCTGTGGTTCCTGGGAGGGGTTTCTGAGTTGTAGGATATGGGAGTCAGTCAAAGCAATTCTGGAGAACTCTGTGCCTCCTCCCTCCATTCAGAGACTCAACTGGACTGCAGATTGGGACCAGAAGTGTCCATCCTAGTGATCACTAATCCAGAGTCTAGTTTTCAGCTAACTTTTGACTCCAAGCCCCTTTATGACTGGGTGACTTGGTCAGGGCCCCTTTCCCCTCTGAGCACCAACTGAATTAGGGATTTTGGCTGGCCATCGGAGACCCCTGGACTGTGTGTGCTTTTGAGCCATGGCTGGTGCCTCTCCCCAAGGATGGCCTCTTTTCTCTTGTGTGCTCCACCACCCCTTGCTCCCTTGTGCCCCAGGGCTTCCTGCATCCCTAGGATCAGGAGCTTCCCACAGACTGTCTGCAGAGGAGAGAACACCTTGTTCTGTGGCCCGCTGTGTATGCGTCTCTGAGATGATGGCAGGTGATGGGGATGGAACAAAATCTAGTATGTTCTGGAGGTGAGGGAGGGCACTGTAAAGGCCTGCCCTGCCGCATCCTGAGCCAGGTTTCCCCTACATGAAAATGGAGAAGCCAGCGTGGAGGTCACAGTCTCCTTAGGGTTCACAAAGGGCCCAGCAAACACACGATGTGGGCGAGGGGAGTCACAGTGGTGAGTGATTGGACCAGCATAGAGGCTGTTGAAAGCTGTGATCACTAGGATGGACATTTCTGGTCCCAATCTGCAGTCCAGTTGAGTCTCTGAATGGAGGGAGAAGGCACAGAGTTCCCCAGAATTGCTCTGACTGACTCCCGATATCCTACAACTCAGAAACCCTCTCCCAGTTTGAGGCTGGGTATTAGATTAGAGAGAGGACAGGTTTCAGGTGGGATGCTGGAGTGAGAGGCAGCCGTAGCCCACATCGAGGATGCAGTTTCACGCCAGCCATGGGGTCGTATGTCTTGAGTGTCTGTGTGTCTACCTTTGTGGGACGCATCTTCAGGTCCCTCTCCCATCTCTAGCTCCCACCTGCAGCTTTGCTATCTTGTTTTTTTGTTTGTTTGTTTGGTACAGGGTTTTACCATGTAACCTGGACTGGCCTCAAACTCAGAATCTTCCTTCCTGAGCTGAGTGCTGGGATTACAGGTGTGTACCGCCATCATACCCGGCTCCACCTCAGCTCTGGCTGCCTTCTTCCGACTCAGGCAACCACCCCTTCTGTCGATTCAGCTGCCACTTATTGAGCACCTACTGTGTGCCAGGCACTTTTGCCACCCCTTTTCGGATGAGAGAACGGAGGCTTGCCAGGTGTGGTGGTGAGCATCTGTACTCTCAGCACGTAGGAGGTGGAGGCAGGAGGATTAGTTCAAGGCATTCCTCTAACTACAGAGGGAATCTGAGGCCAGCATGGGCTATATGAGACCCTGTCTCAAAAGCCGGGAACTGAAAGTCTAAGGCATGTTCATGCTTGTCAGCAGTGCGGACAATGGTGTGGGCATAGAGTTCTGGCTCACGTTGCTCTACCTGCCTTCTGGCTTCCTGGCTCTAACTGTACTGATGAACAGGGCTCACCCGCAGGGTCTCCAGTTGTTCCACAGTTAGATAGACCCCTGTCTCCTCCACAGCCTCCCTCCTGCTCTTCACACCGTGTCCACAGGCAATCGGAGTGGATTCGATGCGTGCTGCTTCCTTAGCTCCCTGGTCCACCCTGTCCCTCACCCTGGACTGGCCTCTCGTTCAAGGTGTTTGGAGCCCTGACAAGGCTCTGCTGCCTGACCTGACTTCATCCCACCTCTGACCACTGTGCTTGCTTTCCAACACTTCCCACTTACTCTAGTTCCTTTTTGGGCGGCTCCTTATGCTTCTGGGGTGACTCATGGTGTGTGACCCCAGGCAGTCAGCCTCTCCATGGGCCATGGTTTCCCACTGCACTGGGGCCAGCAGAGGAGAGAGAAAGGAGAGGGAACAAGAGCCCACTGTGTGCCTGGGGAAGATGTAGACACTGAGCCACTGTGGGCCGGCAGTGTGCTGCTCCTTGGCCTGGACTCTTTGTCTGGCCTGGAAAACCCCTCCCCCAGGCCTTGTGAATCCCACTAGCTTGAGGCCCTGGTAAGAACAGAGCATAGGGTGGGGCAAGTTTGGAACACAGCGCCTGCCCATCCGGGTAGGGTGGGTGTCCTTTCCCCAGACTGCAGGCCTGGAGTTGTGTGTGGCTTCTCTTATGTTTTCCCTCGCTGTAGCGTGGAGGTTTGTAGACGGGGACCCCGGGAGACCCAGATGCTCAGGCAGATTCCCAGAGCTTGCCCACAGCCCTGTTAGCTTATGCTTTTCCCATTCACACTCACCCAGACTGGTTAGCTGCTGTCTCCAGGTCTTGCTGAAGGGTCAGCTCCTTCCAGAGTCCCCACATCCCCACTCAGGAGAGCTGGCACTCTCTGCCTGCGCTCAGGTGAGGCAGCACCAGTGGACAGACAGTCCTGGAGGCCAGCACGAAGCACGTTGCAGGACTTCGATATTGGAGAAAGGAAGGCAAGGACAGGGAGGAGAAGCCATGGCTATTAGTAGCTGTTGGGAATGGCAGCTTGTGTTCCTGAGAAAGGCACCACTTCAGTACCACCTAGAAGTGCCACGCAAAGGTACCCAACTTGTTGGAAAGGCCAGTCCCCAGTACTCAGCCTTCATGATGGTCCTGGGACCACTCTTGACCGTGGTCCTTCCTGGGGCTCCTGAGTGGCAGCGCAGGGTGGACCAGACGCAGCTTGTGTAAGGCATAGGCATCCTCCATCTTGTCTGATACCTGCCCCTTACCCAGTGGGCCTCACAGGACCCAGCCCAGCCTTAGGGGTTCACTGCCTTCCAGGCCATATTTCCCCTGTTTGTACAGTGAGGATGAAGCTTCTCTGTCCTCCAGGTACGGAGAGGGAGAGACCTGAGTTGAAGCAGGTGGGTTACAGAGCCCAGAGCCTGCTTAGGTCTGCAGATAAGAAGGTCTAGAACTTGTGTCTTCTGCCCTCTGAGTCCTGCGTCAGGGAGCCCTTGTCTGCACCCTCAGCCCTGAGTCCTAGTCAGGGATCCCTTATCTGCCTCCTCAGCCTGTTTTCCTCTCCGCTTTCCGGACACACGTGAGACCTTCCACTTGGAGCAGGGGCAGGTGTACATCTGCTGTGACTGTCCTTGTAGTGGGGGAAGTAAGAGTTCCACAGAGGTCAAGACTTGCCTGACAGTCTTGAGCAGGCATTGCTGTGCTGATAGCCTCAAACACACAGATATCTGCCTGCTTCTGCTTCCCAAGTGCTAAGATTAAGTGTGTGCAACAGTATGCCTGGCTCAGGTGTGTGTGTGTGTGTGTGTGTGTGTGTGTGTATGTATAAAATCAAAGACTGGAAGATGACTTTGTGGATTCATTTTCTGAGCTGTCTGGAGGGCCCACTTGTGTGATAGGTTTAGGGTCTTAGGTGTTCTGGGAGTTTTCCCCTGCCTAGCAATTTCAGTCTTTTTTGGCAGCTGGCGCCACCTCGTGGTCATCTGTCGTGTTTTCTGCTGCTTAGACATGGTCTCGCCATGTAGCCTTGTCTCTTTAGCACTGGGATTACCCAACACCAAGTTTTGTCAAGTCTTTTGCACACAGGAGTCTGGTGTCCTGGTTGCTTTGAAGCCCGAGGAAGTCATCTTTGTCTCTGAATGTGGGGAGTCTTCTGTGTAATTGATCACAAACCCCGCAGTGTGGGAAGCGGAGGTCATAGTGGTTAAGATGGCCTGGGACGGATGGTTAGCGCTCTGCTGCTCCTGTATGTGTCCAGCTGCACACTCTCTGCGTATTCACTGCTGCTTCCAGCTGCCAGGGAGTCCTCCTTACTCCCTGACAAGCTCCTGCAATTTGCTTTCTGCCCAGCCCACCGCCATTTCCTTATTTATAGGGCTGTTGTTACCCATGCTTTAAGTTCAAGAGGGTGAGAACCCTCTACCAGCATATACCAAGCATCGTGTCTCGCTCATAGTAGGTGCATGCAGTGTTGCTCCTTGGGTTCCTACTATCGGGGGACCTGCTGTGATGAGATCAGGCACAGAGCATGCCAGCATATAGCAGGAGCTGTGAGCACCTCTGCTGGGCTTGTACTGCTTCTTCTAGGTTTGGGTCCACAGTGTCTGTCCTTGGAGACTTGTCAGGGTTGTCACTCAACAAAACCCCTCCCCCAGGCCTGCCCCCTGCATCTGGAACCATGAGCGAGGCCCGAAGAGACAGTACTAGCAGTCTGCAGCGCAAGAAGCCTCCATGGCTTAAGCTGGACATCCCAGCCGTGGCGCCCCCAGCAGCAGAAGATCCCAGCTTTCTGCAGGTAGGTTCTGGCCTGCAAGGGCTTTGGGAATTCCCTGGCCAGGCTCCTCACCAGGACTTTGTCATCTAGCCCCTGCGGCGGCAGGCTTTCTTGCGGAGTGTGAGTATGCCAGCCGAGACAGCCCGTGTCCCATCGCCCCACCATGAGCCCCGGCGGCTGGTGTTACAACGTCAGACATCCATCACGCAGACCATCCGCAGGTACCACACCATCCTGGCTGGTCCACAGGGCGGGGGTCTAGAGGTAGGCATACAGGATCCCCTTAGGTACTGGGGATGGGAATGGGGCAAAGGTCCCTTCTCTCTCAGCTTTCTCCTCCATTTTAATCCCAGCCATGCTTCATCATCCTCCTGTTCTGGGGGCTATGGCGGGCACTCCATCTGCCTCTCTGTTCCCTTCTCCCCACCCTAATGCCCTGGCTCCTCACAGCCGACAGGTACGCTTTGGGCGTGTCCACACTCTGCCTCTCCTGGGGTCCCGGGCTGCTTGCAAGGCCCTCCCCCAGCGCCAGTCTCTCTCTTGGTCCTTGCTCAGGTACCTCAGGCAGGTCTTGAGTGTGCTGGTGTTTTTTGGCATGTGCATGTTATGTAGCCTCTTGGGGCTGTTGGGGCGCTTGACTTGATAGTCCCTGGCTGCTGATGGCAGGAGCTGGCTGTGTATATTTGCGTGTCCAGAGACCATGGCCACCCTACAGCTCCTGCTGCTGAGTTATGTAGTGCCCTGGGGTGGCGCTGGCTGCCTGAGGCCAAGGTCTCTCTCTGGACTCAGGGTTGGGTAAGGGCCTATGGGAACCTTCTGCTGACAGGCATGAAGAATGTTGTAGTGGGAATTGGGGTGGCCAGAGTTGGAACTCCCATGTCCTTATAATTAGATATTGCCAACTAGACTCTGTCCTTGGAGTGACTGGAGGCCTGCCTAGGGGGTTGGCCTTTGAGGTTTGCTGACTGGTGTAGGGGGACAGGATCCATGGCTTCCCCTTGCTGAGTCCTTCCTATGCCAGGGGGACAGCAGACTGGTTCGGAGTGAGCAAGGACAGCGACAGCACCCAGAAGTGGCAGCGCAAGAGCATCCGTCACTGCAGCCAGCGGTATGGGAAGCTAAAACCGCAGGTCATTCGGGAGCTGGACCTGCCCAGCCAGGACAATGTGTCGCTGACCAGCACTGAGACGCCGCCGCCGCTCTATGTGGGGCCGTGCCAGCTGGGCATGCAGAAGGTGGGCTGCCGCCTCCTATTGGCTCCTCATTCTGCTCCTCTGGCTGGTGGGGAACGGCTGGGAGAGAGTATTCCTCCGAGCCTGTGGACTTGGAAAGGCTCCTGAGATACTCCCAGATAAGAGGAAGTGTCCTAAGATTGTACCAGTTTGGATTCTGGATTGCCAATGTCAAGGAGAGAGGGGTCCCTCTAGGTGTCGTGGATGAGAGTGAGGCTTAGTGTGTTGGGAGTATCTATTATCACAGAAGGCTTGCCTGGGTCTGTATACTGATGTAGCGTCTTTGACTCCACCAGATCATAGACCCTCTGGCCCGCGGCCGGGCCTTCCGCATGGCTGACGACACTGCTGATGGCCTGAGCGCCCCCCACACCCCAGTCACACCAGGTGCTGCCTCCCTCTGCTCCTTCTCCAGCTCCCGCTCAGGTTTCAATCGACTCCCTCGGCGGCGCAAACGAGAATCAGTGGCCAAGATGAGCTTCCGGGCCGCTGCAGCATTGGTGAAGGCAAGTGTCGGGCATGGATGGAGGTGTGGGAGCTGAGCCCACGTCCACTTCCGGATCCTAAGGTCACCTCCTTGTCCTCAGGGTCGGTCTATTAGGGATGGCACTTTACGAAGGGGACAGCGTCGAAGCTTTACCCCGGCCAGCTTCCTGGAGGAAGACATGGTGGACTTCCCTGATGAACTGGATACGTCTTTCTTTGCCCGGGTAAGAAGAGCCTGGGGTGTCGCCCCAGCTCCTCTGTCTCTGGGTCCACCCTGACCTCACATATTTGCTCAGGAAGGTGTCCTCCATGAGGAGCTGTCCACATACCCAGATGAGGTGTTTGAGTCCCCGTCAGAGGCAGCGCTCAAGGACTGGGAGAAAGCTCCAGAGCAGGCTGACCTCACCGGCGGGGCCCTGGACCGCAGCGAGCTTGAACGAAGCCACTTGATGCTGTGAGTACCGGCAGTGCGGGAGGGGCTCAGAGGGAGCGTCTGCCTCATTGGGAGTAGCTGGGCCCTTGGGTGCGATGCTGCCGTAGTCATAGCTCGGACTGACTAGAGAACTGGGAATATGGCCTGACCACCGTGGGTATGAGGACCCAGGGGAGGCTCATCCCTGGACTTTGATGCCTAGGTACAGAAATTCCAGAGCCCAGGGGCTAGAGTCTAGATGGGAGGAAGACCATGGTCTAGTCAACACTGTTGAGATATAGAGCGTCAGTCTTGGCTCCCTGTTCCCTCCCTGCCAAGCCGTTGGACATGTTGTAAAGAGGAGAAGGAAGAGGGATGGCTAGTTGGTGCCTCCACCCCTGGGAGGGCAGCAGAGACACCGAGCAGTGCTCTGGTTGTGCCCGAGGGAAGGCAGTTGTAGGTTCTAGGCAGGAAATGAATATGCTTCCTTCAGGCCCCTGGAGCGAGGCTGGCGGAAGCAGAAGGAGGGTAGCTCGTTAGCCCCGCAGCCCAAGGTGCGGCTTCGCCAGGAGGTGGTCAGCGCGGCTGGACCCAGGAGGGGTCAGCGCATCGCTGTACCAGTACGCAAGCTCTTTGCCCGGGAAAAGCGGCCCTATGGTTTGGGAATGGTGGGAAGGCTCACCAACCGCACCTACCGGAAACGTATTGACAGCTATGTCAAGCGGCAGATCGAGGACATGGATGATCACAGGTAGGTTGTGTTGGAATAGAGGCTGGGCTAGGATTAGGAATCCAAGTCACGGATGCTCGCTCCTGATAGATACCCCTGTCTCACAGGCCCTTCTTCACTTACTGGCTCACCTTTGTGCACTCACTGGTCACCATTCTGGCTGTGTGCATCTACGGTATTGCGCCTGTAGGCTTCTCGCAGCATGAGACAGTAGACTCGGTGAGCCCAGCAACTCTTCCTGCACCCAGATAACTGGAGTCCAGGCTCTGTGGGAGGATGAAGCCCTCCAGATTTGATTTTGATCTCCCTCCCTACCTTCCAGGTACTAAGGAAGCGGGGCGTCTATGAGAATGTCAAATACGTTCAGCAGGAGAACTTCTGGATCGGCCCCAGCTCGGTGAGGACAGGGCTGGAGGTGGAGCTTGGGGTTGGCCCATCAGTGCTGGGCCCGAGGCCACAGCTGCTGTCTCCCCCTTCACAGGAGGCCCTCATTCACCTGGGGGCCAAGTTTTCACCCTGCATGCGCCAGGACCCACAAGTGCACAGCTTCATCCTTGCTGCCCGGGAGCGTGAGAAGCACTCAGCTTGCTGTGTACGCAATGACCGCTCTGGCTGCGTGCAGACTTCGAAGGAGGAGTGCTCGGTGGGTGTCTTAGCTCATGCTCTGTCTGAGCTGCCTATTCTTATTTCAGATTTAGGCCTCACAACATTCTTTACTCTGGCTTTTGGCAGCGTGTGGTACCTCACTAGGCCCCTCTCATCCTTGCTCGTCACACTTAGTTCCTGTAGAAGATAGCCATTTGATTTTAACTTGGTCTTGGTTTGGGCCTGCTCTTTCAGCACCTCTGTGCCTTATATCTTAAGTGAATGTTGCCTTATTTGATGGTGCATGCCTGTAAGCATAGCAGTAAGAGGTTGGTTAAATTCCAGGCCAGCCTGGGCTACGCTCCATGATCTCAAAAGCAAACAAGAAAAATGTAAGACTCGTCCAGATTTTGGCACCATAGCTGATGTCATTTCCCTACTTTAGGACAGAGGCTGTCTCTTGTGCCCCTACTACGCCGTTGGGCACCTTTTAACCCCCGCCATGTGTCTGGGGCTTTAACCTAAGCTGTGTGGAGGCAGGAGGCACTCATGAGCCTTGTCTTTGATTCCTGACTGAGCCAGCACATTGCTCTGAGCTGAGCAGTGCATGGGATCTGACTAGGGCTGACCCTGTGTCCCCACAGTCTACGCTGGCAGTGTGGGTGAAGTGGCCCACTCATCCCAGTGCTCCAGACCTTGCAGGCAACAAGAGGCAGTTTGGTTCTGTCTGCCACCAGGACCCCAGGTGAGCACTATTACCTTCTGAAAATACCTTTGGCTGTGTCTGAGGGGTATAGAGGATTCCTAGTTTGGGGCAGGAGGGAGACATTGCCATGGGACAAAGGTTCTAACCGTGTGGGCTCATGCAGGGTGTGTGATGAGCCTTCCTCTGAGGATCCTCATGAGTGGCCAGAAGATATCACCAAGTGGCCGGTGAGCTGGGTCTCTGGCTTGCTTGTCGAAAGGGGGAGGTGGCTGCACCCTGCCATTAATGGTGCTGCAGACTCTCATTGTTGGATCTCCCACATCTTTGCACTGCCCTAGCTTTTGCCTTGCCTGGCCTACAAGGAGTCAGGGCCAGAGAACGGGGTGGAGACTTGAGAGGTCAAAGTGGCATTAATCTAGTTTGCAGGCGGCTCAGCTGGGGCTTTGGGTGTTATCTGCCTGGTTTCTATTGGAGTCTTGCTTCTGTCTTGGTCTCCAATAGGCCAAGAGTTGGGTGTGTGTGGAAAACGACCCCAGCCCATTTGTTTTTCTTTCTTACCTAGATCTGCACCAAAAACAGTGCTGGGAACCACACTAACCACCCTCATATGGACTGTGTCATAACAGGCCGGCCCTGCTGCATTGGCACCAAGGGCAGGTGGGTGCGCGCGCGCGCAGCTGGCTTGGGTCAGCCCTCTTCTCCCTCACTAAAGCCTGCAATAATTTCATTCCAGCAACCGGGACTTAAGACTGGGCCAGTGGAGGTGGGTGGGGCTGAAATCTGCCTGGGGTAGATTGGGTAGGTACCCATACATCTATGGGCACCCTCCAAACCCTGGCATGACCCTTTAGGTGTGAAATCACCTCCCGGGAGTACTGTGACTTCATGAGGGGCTACTTCCACGAGGAGGCCACACTCTGCTCGCAGGTAGGCCTTGAGGGCACGCCCCTTTTCTCCCCCCGCCACTGTAGAGGCTGACTGGCCACTTTGCACAGGTGCACTGCATGGACGACGTCTGTGGCCTCCTGCCTTTCCTCAATCCCGAGGTGCCTGACCAGTTCTACCGCCTGTGGCTGTCCCTCTTCCTGCACGCTGGGCAAGTGGGACCGGGGGCTGGGTGGGTGGCCTCATTCCCCAGGAGTGGCGGGCTGGAGGTGAAAGAGAAGCCACCTTCCTGCTGAGTGCCACTCGCTCCCCACAGGATCCTGCATTGTTTGGTATCCGTCTGCTTCCAGATGACAGTCCTGCGGGACCTGGAGAAGCTGGCAGGCTGGCACCGCATAGCCATCATTTACCTGCTGAGCGGTATCACGGGCAACCTAGCCAGTGCCATCTTCCTGCCATACCGGGCGGAGGTAAGGTGGCTTCCCAGGGTGGGGACCCTCTATGTGTGCCTGTGGCTGTTGTGAACCCATCTATGCTGAGATGAAGTATGTTGAGAGGTGGGCGGGGAGGTGCTGCAGCCCACTAGCTCACAACTTCCGACCCCCAACACCAGGTAGGTCCGGCTGGCTCACAGTTTGGTATCCTGGCCTGCCTCTTCGTGGAGCTGTTCCAGAGCTGGCAGATCCTGGCTCGACCCTGGCGTGCCTTCTTCAAGCTCTTGGCCGTGGTGCTCTTCCTCTTTGCCTTTGGCCTGCTGCCCTGGATCGACAACTTCGCCCACATCTCAGGCTTCATCAGTGGCCTTTTCCTTTCCTTTGCCTTCTTGCCGTACATCAGCTTTGGCAAGTTTGACCTGTACCGCAAGCGCTGCCAGATCATCATCTTCCAGGCGGTCTTCCTGGGCCTGCTGGCCGGCCTGGTGGTACTCTTCTACGTCTACCCGGTGCGCTGTGAGTGGTGCGAGTTTCTCACCTGCATCCCTTTCACCGACAAGTTCTGTGAGAAGTACGAACTGGACGCTCAGCTCCACTGAGGCAGCTGTGGGCACCCCAGGACACCCCAGCCTCCCAGGGCTGAACACATGGTGCTCCCTGAACTCTGACCTCTTGTGCCTTGCCCGCTCCTGTTGAACCCTTATACGGATGGACATTTACTACATGAGTTCCCATGATAACCTTCTAACTAGTCCCCGATGACCACTTCATGTGGCCAATAAATGGACTGGGAGCGTTTTAGCTGCCACTAACTTGACCAGGACTGTTGTCGCCTTTCCTGATTTCTGACTGGGGCTGTGGGGAAGAGGCCACAAAGATCTTGGACATACAATTCCCGTTGTCAGGAGTTCTCAACCTGTGGGTGGCAACCCCTTTGTCAAACCTGTGTCTCCAAAAATATTTATATTATGGTTCATAACAGTAGCAAGATTAATCATCATTATTTTTGTTTTCTGAGACAGGATTTCTCTGTGCAGCCTGTGCTGGCACTCACTCTGTAGTCAGGCTGGCCTTGAACTCACAGAGATCTGCCTGCCTCTGCCTCCCAAGTGCTGGGATTAAAGGCTCATGCCACCACCACCTGGCCACAAAATTAGTTTTGAAGTAGCAACGAAAATAATTTTATGGTCGGGGGAGTCACAACATGGGGAACTGCATTAAAGGATCACAGCTTTAGGTTGAGAACCACTGCCCTACGTCAGAGACATCACTGGCTGTCACCTCTCTGTGAATTTTCATAGTGGGCATAGTAGCCAGTGTTGGGACATGAACCCAGGGGAGTGCTGCTGTGTCTCTGCAGTGGGGAACATATTGTACCCCTGTAGTTCATTCTTCACCACGCTCTTTCCACTGAGCCTGGGAGAAACATGGCTATCGGGAACCTGTAGGTGGAGTCCAGAGGCCTCAACTCCCACTGTCAGCTGCTAGGTCCTACCACAGGCCCTGGGATGCAGGTTCCTGTATGCACTCCCCTCCCCCAGAAACAAAGCTTTCAATTCAGTTTGGGTCACTCCAGGCTGTGAGGGCCATGGCAGAGAGGTGAGCAGTGTGGGTCCAGGGCTTAGGTATGTCTGCCCTCACCACCCTCTGGTATGGGAGTCACCCAATGAAGTGACTTTCTGATTTTTCCAAATACAAAGCAAATAGATTTATTTTGTAGGTCAGGTCCACAACCACGTAGGACCTTCAGGCCAAGTTCACAGGAAAGTGTGGGACAGAGGAACTTTCCGTCTTCTGAGGGTTCTAGGGCTCATGATGACAGTTCCACCCAGGCAAACTAGGGATGCAGCTACCCTTTTCTGTGAGGACAAGGGGAGGGCGCCATCTTGATGTGATCACTCTGTCTGGGGTTCACTTTTGCCTTAGCTTCTTGATGAAGGAAACCTCATCCCGATTCCGGATGCCATAACTGAAAAAGATAGAAAAGTATAGTGCTTGATCTACAGAAGGGCTAATGATGGATCAGAATACTCAGGTGAAGATGGCCATAGCCTTCTTTCTCCTCCACACCTCGTCTCCTTCATGCAGCCCCAGGCTGCTGTGAGAACAGCAGGGCTGTTTCCCTGTCCTGCACTAAGTGGGAGCCCCCAAGAAAATGTCCACAGGACAGTCGGACCAGCCAGGGACCTTCCCATCATAGCCCTTTGGGGGTGCACAGGCAGTGATGGGCACCTACACTCAGGAGGTGGACAAGACTTACTCTCTGAGCTTCTTCCTGTCCTCTGTGAGTTTCTCCCCAGCTGAGGTCAAATGGTACGTCCGCCACACGTATGACCTGCGGAGAAGGACTTAAGTGATGCACATGCTACCCCTAGGAGGGTGGGCTGAGCAGCTGGGATGACAAGAGGCTTACGGCACACAGCCTGTGGCATCCGGGACAGATACATTCCCCTTCTGGACATTTTCCCTACATGATATGGTGAGCCCAAGGCAGTCGTAGGACGTACTGAACACATCTGGCTAATGAAATAGGTGATACGGGGAGAGAGTCAGAACACAGGAAGTCTGATCCAATACGAGAGGCAGGGCCAATAGCACCTTGGTGAGGAGGGAAGGGGACCATTGACAGGTAAGCCATCTATAACTAGGGAGACATTAAGGGGTCAGGTGTTCCCAATGAAGATATCCAGCAGTGCGGGAGAGTAAGGTCTGTGAAAAGGTATGTCCAGAAAGGACAACTGGGGGCTGGAGAGATGGCTCAGAGGTTAAGAGCATCGCCTGCTCTTCCAAAGGTCCTGAGTTCAATTCCCAGCAACCACATGGTGGCTCACAACCATCTGTGATGAGGTCTGGTGCCCTCTTCTGACCTGCAGGCATACACACCGACAGAATATTGTATACATAATAAATAAATAAATATTAGAAAGGACAACTGGACAGGACCCTCAGGCACAGAACTGCCCAACCTGAAAGCTCGCCTGACACGGGACTGTTGCGACATTGCTCCTTGGTAGGGGAACCCTGGCGGTATGCACAGAGGAGCTGAAACTGCCTCCTTGGAGGGCCCCAGGGACGGCACAGGGAAGGCACTGCTGCCCCTCTCACCAGCTGATGTGCTGAATGCCTCCCTCCCGCTCCTGCTTGAGCTGCATGTATCTCTGGATGGCCTTCTTCAGGTCCAGGACCGTGGCATTCTGTACGACGACCACAGCTGCATGAACACATACGGGAGAAGATCTGTGTGGGATGCACATCCAAGGACCCGGGCAATGGGAGACACCCAGGGCTCTGCTCTGGCTCAACACACCAGGCATGGTCTGAGTTTCTCACAGGCTAGCTCTGCTAGTATCCTGCTGCCCTGAAAGCTCAGGCTTAAAGAGAGAAGGATGGCTGTGGTCTGAATGAGACTGGGGGTGAGTTTCAAAAGCCCACACCACTGCAGTTAGCTCTGTCTCATGCCTGTGGACCAGGATGTAAGTAAGCTCTCAGCTACTGCTCCAGGACCATACCTGCCTGCTGCCATTCTCCCCGCCATGAAGGTCATGGACTCTAGCCCTCTGGAACTGTGAGCCCTCACAAAGATTTTCCTCACTAAGTTGTCTCGATCGCAGTGTCTCTTTACGGCAAGAGGAAAGCAGCTACATCGATGGTACTTACGCATTACCTCTCCATCCATCTTGCACACCCGGACAGTCATTGCCTGGCCATACTCCAGTGCAATCTGAGAGTTGACCTCTTCTAAAGTGACCTGGGAAAGACCAAAGGGAGGGGGAGATACTGACTCTTAACACCCACACAACAAGAGAAACCAAGCTCACGGTGCCCCAGAGTGGTGTCCTGTATTATGAAGGGTCAAGATACGGGGTTCTTGCCTGCTATGCAATAGGGATTTTCTATTAGAAGGTCCCCCAAGGGGGTAAAGGAACAGGCACGGAGATGGAGTTGCACAAGAGAAGAATATTATAATTCTGAGAGCCCTCCATAAAGAGCATCGAGCACTAGGTTGAGTCAGGGCAGGGGTGCAAAATTTACCAGCTACCAAAGGCAGTGATGACAAAATCTTGTTTGTTTATGCTGAGGTAGGGACTCACTATGTTAATTACCCTGGCTGGTCTGGAACTCTAAGTGGGTCAGGCTGGCCTCGAACTCACAGAGATCTGCCTGTTTCCACCTCCCAAGTGCTAGGATTAAAGGCGGGTGCCAACACCGCCTGGCGACAAGAGATGTTTTAATAAAACACTGTGGGAAGCGGGGCAGTGGTGACACACGCCTTTAATCTCAGCACTCGGGAGGCAGAGGCAAAAGGATCTCTGTGAATTCGAGGCCAGCCTGGCCTACAAGGGCTAGTTCCAGGACAGGCTCCAAAGCTACAACAAAACCCTGTCTCGAAAAACCAAAAGCATGGAGGGGAGTACAAGTTGAGAAAGCGGTGTAACTCCGTGGTAGCGCACTTGCTTAGCATTCAAAACGCTACCCAGTTGTGTGTGCACACAGACGTTAAATTAAAACACCCTTGACGGACAAGGTTAAAAAATACACTAAAGAATTATTATGCCCACGCACATTGACGATTGAGGCAAATGGAAAAGACTGGTCACACTGCTCTTAGTATTTGTTTAATTCTAACTTTTTACGCTGTGAGGGAGTGTTTTGGAGTCCCCTTACCCAACACTTTCGGCTTATGCGCAGAAGCGTCTTTCGCTGGTGGGACCATGGGTGCCCATCCACGCCCCAGAGACCTGTCGCGTACCTGGATCGGAAGGTCGCAGAGCAGCGGGTCTTGCACCACCATGGCGAGACCTTCTTGGAACACGTCCACGGCTTCGGAGTGTGGCAATGCCTCCTCATCATCCTCATCGTCTTCAGGCACTTCCGGCCTATCCGCAGGCTCCGGGTCCTCCAGGGCTGCCAGCTACCGGGAAGCTTTCCCGTCGCTCCTCCAACCCGCCCCTGTTTTCCAGCGCGTGCGCAGTGACTGCTCCACGCCCCCGGCAAAGCAGTTCGGTCATTGGTGCACTGCGCGGCTTCAGTGTCCAATGAGACGTGCGAGACACGGGGTAGGCTGGGAGCACGCAGACAGCAGGCGATTGGCCGGATGGGCGGGTCACATGCGTGGGGCGGGCGGCGCGGGAGTTACGTCCAGTCTGTCGGGTCGTCTGTTGTATAATTCAGTCGGGTCCGTAGTGGTCCTGCTGCAGTCAGACTGCTCTTCTGGGCTGGTCATCAGGAGTCCGGCACTGCCATCGCTTCGCCCCAGACACCTGCCCCTAAGCACAACATTGCTCACAATGTGACTCTAGGAGGTGGGTGCCTCCTGCTGCTCGGGGCCAGTCGTCGCTACCCCTGTGTCTTTGCCCCAGCCAGGTCTCAGTCACTCAGGGATTCCTCCTCAGGCTCTGTGCCAAAAAGTGGCCAGAAATCTAGTGAGATGGAGCCGGGCGTGGTGGCGCACACCTTTAGTCCAAGCAGTTGGGAGGCAGAGGCAGGCAGATCTCTCCTTGTCGCTGAGTTCTAGGCCAACCTGGTCTACAGCGCTAGTTCTCAGACAGCCAGGGCTACAACAAGTGAGTAAACCCTGTCTCGAAAAACAAAACAAACAACCCTTAGTCCTTCCTGCAGGGTGGCAGTGCCAGGCTCTCATTTGCTCACCACCTTCTCTGGTCTCCAGTCTTCGCGGTCTTTCTATTGCCTTTTTACACCAGTCCCTGTAACAACTCTGGCTCTCTCTGGCTCTGGCTCTCTCTGGCTCTCTTTTTCTCAGATCACGTGTGTATGGGTGCTTTGTCCGCCTTTATTTCTACTGTGCATTCTGTGTGTGCAATGCCCACAGAGGTCAGAAGAGGATATCAGATCCCCTAGGGCTGGAGTTATAGCCGGTTATGAACCATCGTGTGAGTCCTGGGAATCGGCTCTGGGTTCCCTGGGAGAGCAGCCTTGGGTCCTAACTGCTGAGCTATCTCCCCTCTTCACATTTTTTTTTTAAATGATGATCCCCTTATTTAAAACTTCAGCCCTTACTTCAGCCCTTGCTTGGTGGTGGTGACACATGCCTTTGATTCCAGTACTCGGGAGGCATGGGCATGAGGAGCTCTCTAAGTCTGAGATCAGACCATTGCACAGAGCAAGTTCCAGGATAGCCAGGGCTATGCAGAGAAAACCTGTCTTGAAAAACAACAACAACAACAACAACATCTAACAAAAAAGAAACTCCAGCCCTTGTGCCAAGCCTGTTGTACGCCCCTAATCCCAGCCCTTGGAGAGACTGAGGCAGGGGAATCTGTTCAAAGTCCAAAAGGATTGCATAGCAGAGATGAAGAAAGTTTAAAAAAAAACACAAAAAACAAAAAAGGTTATGCGGTGAGACCTTGCCTCAAACTAGACTGAAACCAACCAAACAAACAAACCCTCTTCTATTATAGAGTAATTTGGTCCTAAAGAAGCACAATTTCTTTCTTGTCTTTGATGTTTTCGTTTGAGATATCTCCTCTCAAACCTGTATGAGGTCAACAATCTTGGCTTTGTTAGTTGTGTTAAGTTTTCTACCTTTTCTGTTTATTTATTTATTTATTTATTTATTTATTTATTTATTTTCAATACAGGGTTTCTCTGTGGCTTTGGAGCCTAACCTGGAACTAACTCTTGTAGACCAGACTGGCCTCAAGCTCACAGAGATCCGCCTGCCTCTGCCTCTCAAGTGCTGGGATTAGAGGTATGCACCACCACTGCCCAGCATTGAGTTTTCGTCAGAAAAAACAAACCAGACCTTGAGATGGTGGCTTCTTTTCTTTCCTTGTTTTCCTTTCTCTGCCACCATAGTTTTCATGTCCTTCTGTCCTGCCTCATGTCTGTATCTGTATCTCCATATGTCCACATCCACACACATTTGTGAAGCAGAGTTAGTATCCGTTACGAAGTCTTGTAAATATTTATTATTGTATTTACCTTTTGGGACACTACAAGACTAAGCACTAAAGGGGCCCTGACCTACTTTGAGGTAGTGTATTTGTGGTTGTACTGGGATGGTTACATCAGGCAGAATTGCAGTCTTGTCTTTGTTTGGAAATCAACATGATGTAAGGGTGGCTATGTATTTGGGTGTCAAGTTGACAAGGGTGAACTTGTAATGATTAATATTGATTGTCAGCTTAACAGGACAGGGAATTGCCTGTGAGACAGGTTTGGTTTATCTGTGAGGTCTTATTTAGATTAGGTCAGCGTTTGGGCATGCCCGTGATGGATTTTCTTAAGCCTGATCCCTTAAGTATTTGGCTGTTCTGGTGTCTGGGTTTTCTTGGTTACACTGGTTGAGATGGGAAGGCTCTCCTGGGATGTGATCCATACCTTCTGGTGGCAGCCTAGATGCTCATATAAAGTGGTCCGTGGGGAAAGATTTTGCTTTTTGCCTGCTTGCTTTTGTGTTTTGTGCATGAGTTCGTCTATTCTGTGACTGTCGCTACTCCAGGGACACTGGGACTCAGCTTTTTCAGCTTCCCATATCGGCTGAAGACAAGTGGTCCTCCAAGAATTCTCCTGGCCTTCAGCATCAGATTAGAACTACTGAGGCATCCAGCCCTGAGGACTGGGCACCTGCTGGGCTCTCAGCCTCTCCAGTGTGCAGGTAGCCATTGCTGGATACCAGGAAGTACTGGGTAACTCCCTTTAATTGTATCAATTCTACTGGTCCTTTTCCTCTAGAGCCCTGGCTGATACAGATAAATATGCCACCTTTTCTTACACAAAAACTCCATTATGTATTAGGCAAAGAACAGTAGAAAAGTAAATAAAATAAAGGAAATGAAGAGATGGTACTGATCCATTTGGCCAACAAATTGAGAGCCCAAATGGCTTTGCTCTTCCTTCTAAGTAGTGAGGTTTCAAGGAGGACCAAACTAATGATGATAATACTAATTCAGAAAAATAATAACAAATGTAGTCCTCGCAGAAGGCCTATAGCAAAACCCCAGAAGATCTATTTTAGTTAGTGCTTCATGTAATATGATTTATTCACTTTTTCCAATCTTCTCCTTCTTATTTTTGAGACAGGGTTTAATTCAGGGCCAGCCTAAGTTGGTCGTGAACTCACTCTGTAGGGGAGAATAAGGTTGCCCTTCTGAGCCTCCTGACTAGCTCCTGGGGTTCCAGGCTTGAGTCACCACATCCAGCTCACTATCTTCAGGGTGGCTTCCCCAGCTCTGGTTTCTAACAATCTTGTGTGAGTTTTAAAAACAACTGTGCTTGGGGCTGGAGAGATGGCTCAACAGTTAAGAGTCCTACTGTGCTTGGGGACTGGAGAGATAACTCAGCAGTTAAGAGCCCTACTATG